GCACGATTTGGAGCTGGGAACGGTCGTATTCGCTCTCAAGATTAGGAGACACCATCTCTATGGGGTCCACTGTACCATATACATGAACCACAAGAGTTTGAGACACATCATGGATCAGCCGAACCTGAACATGAGACAACGTAGGTGGCTAGATGTAGTCAAGGACTACGACTGCGAGATCCTTTACCACCGAGGTAAAGCGAACGTGGTTACGGACGATTTGAGCCACAAGTCAGCTGGATCCTTAACTCCAGCGACATGTATGAGGATATCAGTGGATTCTCCACTCGTAGGCTTGATTAGAAAGGACCAGACTGAGGATATGCGACCAGAGAATTGGAAACTGGAGAGGATCAGGGACAAGAACACCCGATTTGTGAAGGATAGCCAAGGATTGCTGACCCAATGCGATCGGGTATGGGTTTCGATGTCTGGTGGGTTTAGACAGATGGTTTTGAAGGAGGCTCATAAGTCTCACTTCTCACCAGAGGGCCAGTAAGATGTACCGGGATTTGAGTTTGAGCTACTAGTGGTCGTTCATGAAGCGAGAAATCGCTTGATATGTAGAGAGGTGCTTGACCTGCAGGATGTTCAAGGCCAAACATCAGAGGCTGCATGGCAAGCTACAACCTCAAGAGATCCCCATGTAGAAATGAAAACAGATCACTATGGACTTCATTACCAAGTTGTCGAGGACGACGAAGGGATTTGATGTTGTATGGGTCATTGTGGATCGATTAACTAAGAGTGCCCATTTCTTGGCCATACGGGAGAGCTCATTGGCCGAGAAGCTGGCCGACGTATATCTTCGTGAGACTGTCGCTCTCCATGGAGTTTCAGTCTCTATTGTTTCCGACTGTGATGTTACGTTCACCTACCGTTTCTAGAAAAAGTTCCATTAGGAGCTGGGGCACACAACTGCATTTTAGTACAGTGTACCATCCGCAGACCGACGGCTAGAGTGAGCGGACGATATAAACCCTCAAGGACATGTTGGTGGCCTTCGTTATTGACTTTGGTGGGAGCTGGGATTCCTACCTACCCCGTTCAGAGTTCGCCTACAACAACAACTATCACTCCAACATTGGTTCTCCACTTTTCGAGCTATTATATGGGCGGATATGTTGTACTCTGGTTTGTTGGGGCGAGGTCGGCCACAGAGTAATGGTTCGGACCGAGGTAGTTCTGTAGACTACCGAGAAGATTCAACAGATTATTCAGTGGTTACAGAATACACAGGGTCAGCAGAAGAGTTATGTCGACCGACGTCGATCCGAGCTGGAGTTCTAGTTCGGTGAAATGGTATTGTTGAAGGTCTCACCCTGGAAGGGTGTGATCTGCATTAGGAAGAGGGGAAAGTTGGGTAACCAATACATTGGCCTATTCAGGATCATTGCCAATGTTGGCAAAGTGACGTATAGACTAGATCACCCGGAGGAGCTTAGTCAGATCCACAACACTTTCCATGTTTCAGAGTTACAGAAGATAAGGAGGCTGTGGTATCACTGGATGATACATATGTCGACGAGCGCTTGAATTACGTGGAGAGGCCAGTGGTCATTGTGGAAAGGAAAGAGAAGGTTCTACGGAACAAGGAAGTTCCTTTAGTAAAGATACAAGGGAGCATCGGAGGGGATCCAAGTAGACTTGGGAGCCGGAGGCAGAGATGCGGGAGCATTACCCCGAGTTATTTACAGCAGTAGACTTCGAGGATGAAATATAGTTCAAGTGGGAGAGAACTGTAACACCCTGACTCCAAGGTATAAATAATAAAGCTTATATTCACATTCTTAGACATACTAGACGAGTTGGATGCCCCAACTCGTTGTGTAGAAGTAGATCAGGCTACATGATTTAGGAGGTTTGCTCGATGAGTTGTAGGACTCCAACTCAACGAGTAGGAACTGGGGAATGAAAACCTATTTTATAGGGTTTTACACCCTATTTAAAGGGTCATTAGCCTCCCTCTGTCTGCCTTACCATCCCCTTGATCTCAGAAAACCCTAATCACGTCTACTTTCCATTTTTGTGTGTTAAGAAGCTTGGAATGCGGATTTTGTGAAGAGAGCTTGAAGTCTAAGGAGCTTGGAGCAAAGAGAAGCTTGTGGATCTGATTTATACTTCATCTTAGCATCATCTGGAAGGTAACAAGTCGTTACCTTGGCTTCTCTCTAGTTAGATCTCTTCATGCAAAGGTTTAAGGCTATTTCAAGCTATTGTGGAGTTACTTCTGGTTTTGGGCATGATCTGAAGTAGTAACTTCAGATCTGGACTCCTCTAGCCCATTCTAGTCATAAATTTCTAGTCTTTAGCAAGTAATGACCTTCTCCTTACCTAAAACTTATTCTTTAGCTTGGTTTTTTCCTTCAAGACCTTGCATGCACGTAAAATTTGCAACTTTATGTGATAACTTCACCTTAGGAAGCTAGATCTACAATTTGGAGCTTTGTGGTAGCTTAAAAATGTATGAATGAGAAATGGACTAAAGGGAATCGACGAGTTGCATGGTCAACCTGAAGAGTCAAGTGAAGATTGGTCATTTTTGGTTTATGCATGGACTCGACGAGTGAGTGAGATAACTCAACGAGTTAGTTGGGGTTTCCCGATATTTGGACACCGCATGGACTTGACAAGTTGTCCAGAAACTCGGCAAATCAACTAGGGTTCTCATGATTTCTCGAGTTCCGGAAGAACTCGACGAGTCAGGGGACTACACTCGACGAGTTGGGTGAACATGGACTGTTGACCTTGACCATTGACTTTGAATTTGACCAAGGATTGACCAGTTTGACTTCTCAGGGTATTTTAGTAAATTGGAGATTTGTGGAAGTGTGTCACTAGTGGACGTAGGTGCTTGAGTGTGGAAATGTATTTGGATAGTTGACATTATCATCCCGAGCTACTTGTGAGGTGAGTTTTCCTCACTATATTCTAGGGTCTAAGGCACCAAGGCCGACCCTTTTGGATTGTTATCCTGCTTTGTTATTAGTGAGATCGGTTAGATCGATATCCTAGTAGATAGGATGTTTTTTTGATTTGAGATATGTAGATTGGTTTGACTGTCTGTAGACTGTTATGTGACTACCTATTATATGCGCATGTGCTTGATTGGTAGTTAAGGGTATTCCATAATGTGGATGATTGGACCCTAGTATGTTGTCTCTGTAGACTGTTATATGATTATCTGATATAGGTACACATGTTTGATTGGTAGCGAGAGTATTCCATCCCGATGATGATTGGACTCATAGTATGTTGGCATTCCAACCCATTGTACCCAAATGATTATACCTTTGGTAATTTATCTTTATAAATTCAAGAAGTGGAAAATATATGATAAGAAAGAGTATAAAGATGAAACAGGAAATACAAAGAATAAAGAACTGACATTGAAAAGGGGTCGTCACACTTTGAAGAAGTGTCATTGTTATTATTCTGGTCATGATAGGGGAGCTACACAATGAAGATGTTCCAAGGATGGAACAAATTAATGAAAAGTGAAATAAGAAGCTAGTGATATAAATGTAAAGGCAATGTTTTCATCATGGGTGTCTTGACCATCCTTTATATACTAACAAACACCACTGAATATTGAAAACTGAAAAAATTGCATCGGTTTTTACACAAACAATTTTCTTTTTCTTTTTGAATTCAAGTTATATGAAAAGACTTGTTTCAATGCTTCAATATTTTTATGAAAATAATATTAATAGATTGCAAAAATTAAAATTAAAAACAAAAGAAAAGGTAACCTTGGCTTGAGACACCCGTCAATTAAAATAAAAAATTGATCCCTAATTTTGCGTTTTTCAGTATTATTAAGGTACTTTGAATCCTAAACAAGTAATCCTAAAAATACCTAAGAATAAAATTGAAATTAACTTAAACACGTGAATTAGAACCGACTAAAATCTGGAATGAGCATTAATTTAATCACAGGACAAATAAAAAAAGATAAAAGCCTAAATTTGGGGTTTTACCATGAAACGATAAAATTGATTTTGCAAACAGCTCCAAAATGAAACAACACAATTTGGTTTCTTCATCCAAATTGAAATCCATATGTTGAGATCGTTTCTTGATAGAGAAAAATGAATAGAACGAGAGAAGAATGAGAAAAACGTGGAAAGAAAATGATGGTCTTCAAATTTCATGGTGGAATTGGTAGGGGAACGACTTCTCTATCGTTTTTTTTTTCTTTACGCAATTACAAAATAACATGAAAAAATAAGAAATTCTTCAAAATAGAACATGAAAATCGATTTACAGAGGACAAATGGTGTATACATATATCAATTGTGAAACAGTGGTGTAGTGAAGGTGTAATTACAATTTAAAACGATGTAATTGGCAAAAAATATGGAAATTAGAACCTTAAACAACAATTTACCATAAACTCGTGAACTCAATCGAGTTTGCAAGACTAAAGAAAATTAGAACCTGGAAGAACAATGTTAAATTCCTAAACCAAAACCTCTAAAATTAAATTGAGTTTTCAAGATTAGAGAAAAAGGAACAATTTCGAATAGATTTCAACAGGGCTAGAAAATCCATCAAATGGATTAACAACAACTGGTATATAAACTTGAAATCACATTTGCGGTCAAAAAAATGGTGAACTTTTTTGTTGGTCACATAATCAGGGTTTTTCATGTTGTGGAAGATATGTTCGGATTTTTGTTGGAGAGGAACCAGTACACGGGATTGGATAGATAGAAAATGGATCGGTATTTCGAATTGAAAAAGGAAAGCATTCAACAGATGTGATGATCATATTTAATCGATATTTTCATATGTTGCGTCATTCGGGGAGTGCTACGTGGCTATATTGGGACCCTCTGAATTTCCTTTAGAAGCCACCAGAAAAAAAACATATATGTAGTAATGATATATATCTATCTCTCTCTCTCTCTCTCTCTCTCTGTAGTAATGATATATATATATATATATATATATATATATATATATATATATATATATATATATATATATGTTGTGATATGCCGGAAATGGTAGGATCGAGATCAAGGGTGGTTGTTGAGCTGGTTCCTTCCCCTGATATCACAATACAAAGAAAAGAGATAATCATTAAACAACGTCAGGGAGTGGTTCCCAGGACGAAGCTTCAACGGTCAAGTTAGAATTGCTACTGAGAGAAGATAGGGTAATGACTGAGAGTACAAGCATCCATTCCCCTTCTCCGCGAGGAAGAAGGGTTCCTTTTATACCTGATCGAGAGGCACATGCCTCCTAACTGACTATGTTGAGCCTTCCCTCATGAGATGTGACGTGGCAGATATGTCTTCAAGGATCCTTTATCATGTCTTTCTATATCTCCCACCCATTGGCTAGAGGAGAATCTTCGGTATAATGGTGATTGTGGTTGTCGTCAGATAGGTATGTGGAGCTCTCTAATAGGCTACATGTTTTTCGGGGTATTCCTCCTCGGGAGAACATGGTAAGGCACAATTCTGCCCCTTAACCATGATACCAGTGAGTCTGTGTAGGCGGAGGCCCGACCTTGGCCTCATAATGGATGTGACCAGATTCTAACTAGGCCAAGCTTGGCGCTAGTTTAAATTTTCTTCTTTAACGTTTTTTTTAGGGATACATTAACAAGTCCCTTAGGCTTGTAGGCGTATGCGTTGGCTTTGTAGCGTCGTCGTTCGAGCCTATATTACACCACGTGTATGTCTGAGATTACCTCTGGTATTTGACAGACTTTAGACAACGTCCTTGATGTGTGTCGGATCCATCACGAGATGGTTCGTGACACCGGTTTTACCTTTAAAATCCCCCCTTGACTCAAGCCCTTCCACCTTTTCCTTCTTTCCTTGCTTTCGTTGTAGTGACTCATGCATTTTGTGAGGTTTTCTTTTTCACTACTCTTCTTTCTTAACGATGGATCGTTACGGCAGAGTCCCTACCGTAGAGGAATTTCGACTACTCCAGGAACAATTTGGTTTTTCGTTGGAGCATGGTGTGATGATTCCAATGAAGGGATCATCGATCTATGACTGCCCTCAAAGGAAAGTGGGGGTTCCTGTTCCTCTGTTCGAAGCGGGGTAATGCCTGCCAACATCTGACTTCTTTGATATGATCGTGCACCACTATAGCTTTTCTGTTGACGAATTAACCCCAAGTACCGTCAATCAAATTGTGGGACTCAAACTGATCTTTCGGTCTCTATGTTGTGTACCCACTTATTGGGTTTTCATTTACTTTTTTTGTGCATCTACGAACTCTAGCGTTCGCACGCTGGCGAAAAGACGAGTCATTCATTAGTTGATCTCTGAGCAAGACAATCCGATGAAAAATTGGTATAGACAATGGATTTGGGTCAACCAAAAGCTTGTAGGGAATGGGTTTTGTAAGACCCGAGACTATCCTGACCGTCTTCCTAACTATTTGGGGACAACCTAGTTCTTGGCAAGCGATTGGAAAACATTACTGTCATAGGGGAGAACTGGAAAGATTTCATCCTTGCCACAGTCAGCATGAGTGCTGCCTGGAGGGCACGTGGGAAAATGGCACAATTATTCGTCATGATATGTGGTATTCACTCATTTCCTTCCCCCATCCCCTTTTTCTACAAAATAAGAATAGATTATTTTATTGGTCTCTTGGTTCTCATGCATGGTGTTTGTGTTTGTAGGTGCCGAAAGCCGAGATTTCCGTGGAGATGGCTTTGCGTGGCCATTATCGAGGTAAGCTTTATCATCAGGATATTGACCTTGTGGAGAGTCGTCCCCCTCCCGTATTTGAAAAACGTATGCGGGAACTTGCTGGATTGCTCTCGGCAGAAGGGGAAATGTTGGTTCTAGCGGACCTGCCTCGTTTTCTTAACCGGTCGTTGGAGCTATTTACCCAGCCCATTCTCCGGCCTCTGCTTCTGATGACATTCCAATGGTAAGTCTAGCATGAAAAGGTACTACTCCTATCCAGAGAAAATAAAGTGCGTGCATGGTGTTGTCATAGGACGAAGAGACCGAATCTGATGATGTGGGCCTCTATCCTCGTAAGATGCGAAACACAGTGTTCGTGCCCAAGCTTCTTGGCAATATTGGAGATGTTTTTTGTGATGAGTTTTCTACACCTGGGTAGAAAGAGAGAGTAGTGGTTTCCAAATCTTCAATGACATCGCCTTCTCCTTTTATTGAATCGCTCACAGTTGATCTAGGTGCATGTTTTGTGCTTGGTGGTGCATTGGGTGTGCCTGGAGATTTTCCCCATCGAACATACCTTACATGGTTGATGAAATGAGGATTGCATCCCATCCTTCGGCCTTAGAGGCTTACATCCTAGGTTGGGCGGTTACTAAAGACTCATTACTTTTAGAAGACATCGCCGCTCATGAGTGGAGTAACTGCGTCCATCCTCCGGCCACAATGAAGTTGCTTGCAGCTCAATCGGGTGTACACATGGCTGGTGACCTTCGGTACGCCGCTATTCAAACTTCTGCCTTATGGTTGTTGCCGCTGATCAGGTTTTCTACTTTATCATAAGTGAAGCTCAGCTGAAAAATTTGTAAGAGGTTGTGGCTAGCTTAAGGGAGAACGCTGTGATTCAAAGGAAGAACGTCGAATACTATCCGAGCAAAATTGCATTGTGGCCTGTGAGAAGGCCACCTTAGGACCCCTTTTTACATGCCATTAATTGAAGTTTATACATTCTCATCTCTGAGATGTTATTGGCAAGTTTTAGGTAAAGATTATGACCCTTTGAGACCTATGGTTGCATCATTGTATAGATTTTGCTCGGGTAGCATTAGTGATCAGTCTTTGTTGCTACTTGGAAAATATACACAACATCTTTACTTTGGGTTTTTGTAATTGGTTGAATAAAATTTTGAAAATCTCTTTCAATGCAAAAAAAATATATTAACTCTAAAAAGGAAAAAGCACGAAATATTAGACTCTAAATGTCTAAGTTCCATAGCACGGGCCTGGTCTCCGTGTCGGCACTTGGAGTATGGTTATCCTATGTGGGGTTTAAGCTTACTCTCTTTTCTCAGCCTTCGCATTGTTAGGACCTATTTTGTTGGTTTGTGCTAGGCATATATATTTTATAGGCTTTATTATTCTTTGTTAGGGCTTATTTTGTGTTTTTGGTTGGTTGGACCGAAATCAACGATGATTTTGGTCCCTTGGTGTTTTTGTATTTGGGTTGGCTTGTACATATATGTTCCCTATATAAGGAGACTCACATGACCGGTTCTAGAGCTAAAAGTTTCTGGTCATAATTTTGTGAAGGCTCCATTGTACTAGACGATTTGGTGAATATACAATCATGTACATTGGATTGATTTTGCTTCTTCTTCTTCTTGATTTGCTTTGCATTGATTCTGCCTTTATTTAGCTTATTCGATTGATCACTAGATGGTTCATTGTTTGGGACTTACAATTGGTATCAGAGCCAACTGTTTTATTTGATTTAATATTTTGATCAAAAACAGTTTTGAGCTTATTGTTAGAAATTAGTCTTTGTTGTTGCTATTGTTGTTGTGTTCGTGGTGTTCATCGAGGATTCAAGGCAAAAGAATCGAAAATCTGTTTGAAATCGTCATTTTTAATGAAACTTGGCGTTTTCGGTAGGCGTTTTTGGTAGCAGTTTTTGGTGGGTGTTTTCGGTGGAGCGTCCTCTATTCTCATTTTCATCAGAAATCACGTTTTTGGCCGAAATCTACTATTTTTGGCAGTAATCATCATTTTTGGCAGAAATCCACGTTTTCGGCCGAAATCTATTGTTTTCAGTCAACCTTATCTGTTGACTTTCTGAGTTTTCGGTGTGACACTCCTTGAGTTTTGGACAGTTTTACTTTTAATCAATCAAAAAAATGGAACCTCAACATAGTGCATTACATCAAGAGATGGATTCAATTATAGGAACCACTATGAGAATTCCACGTATTTTATCAGCTGATGGGTTTCTAGAATGGAAGTACAGGATTGAAAAGTACATTAAGATAAAAGACTTTAAGATATGAAGAAGCATCCTTAGAGGTCTGGTTAGAATTACTACAACATTGGAAAATGGTATTGTAATTAACAAAGAAGTGGAGAACTACACTGATGAAGACTTTGAGAAGATTGAAGAACAAGAAAAGGCACTTGCAACTTTGACCATGGCATTGTCCCCTAACATTTCTCTAGGATTCAGGGAATATGATTTTGCAAAGGCTCTTTGGGAAGCCTTGATAGAAGTTTATGAGGGAAACGATGATATGAAACAGAGCAGACGGGATATGCTCCGTCAAAAGTTCAATATGTTCAACCATGTTCTTGGGGACACTCTTGAAGCCCAACTGAACCGATTCATTATACTCACTACTAAAATGAGTTTTGCGGGAATCTCAGTAACCCGTTCTGAGATCAAAAAGAATTTGTTAAACTCTCTTCCAAAATCGTGGGGCATGAATGATTCTGTCATTAATAAGACCAAGGATCTTAACAAGTTGTCCCTTGCTGAGACTATGGCTATCATCAAGGCTTGTGCCTTGGATGATAAGCAGTGTGAAATAAATCACATGACTTCCTACTCTACAAAAAAATTTGGGAATCTTGTCAAACAATGCTTTTTCATCATTCACTGTTCCACAAACTCATGCCATTCCTCCTACTATGCCTTATCAACATCCGACCTCCTCAAAAGCTCCTGCCACAATCTCAACTCCTAAGGAAGTTGAAGAAAACATGGCACTAGCTTCTGGCCTGGTGAACTATTACAATGCTTTCTTGGCTGGAGACTTATGTCCTCAAATCTCATTCGCAAATCTTGATCAAATTCATCCAGAAGATGTGGAAGAGATGGATATCACCTAGCAAATTGCAATGGTTGTGTTAAGGGCTAAGCAGTTTGCTAAAAAGACTGGGAAGAACAATTGGAGTGTAAATAGGGAAAAGAAGTTAAGGTTCAACATAGGCAAGCTTAGGTGTTTCAATTTTCATGAGCCAGGTCACTTTGCTCGTGATTACCAAAGCCAGACAAAATGGAAAATTCTGATAGGACGATGGTACTAGTTGTGAACAATAGAGGAGCTGCTACCAAAAATGAAACTGCAAACCTAGTAGTAGCGGCTTAGACTTTTGATTCGGAGGACCAGATTCAGGCGTTGAAAATCACAGGATCTGAGACTACAAATCTAGCACAGATAAGTGAGCTCCCGGATAAATATACCGAAGAAGATGCTGAAGCGGAGATAATGCAGGTGCATTTTGCTGTTATGGTCTCCACCGCTCCTGAAACAAAAGAGGTGAGTGAAGTTTCTTGTTCTCAAAAGTGCATGGATACTGTTAAATTTCTACGTGATCAAATTGATATTTTAACGTAGAGACAATGAGGACCTTAGGTATGAAGCCTATAACCTTAGGAAATGCCAAAAACCTCTGAAAGAACAACTATAAGCCAAAACCAAGGACTTTGGAAAACTTCAAGAAGAATATAGTAACAAATATGAGAATTATAACTATGTTAAGAGACAGGTTGCCAACTTGACCGACAAGCTTGACACATTAAAAAATAAATTTGAAAATGCAGATTTGAACTTTAAAAAGTTTGATGTGTTAAGTAAGAAAGTTGGGTCCATGATTGAAAATCAATTAAAATTTAAAGATAATCAGAATAAGGGTTTAGGATATCATAGTATTCAACCTCCCTATAATGATAACTACACTTCTACTCCTCTAACTAAGGAGGAAATAGCAAATGAAGTACACCTTTAGTATGGTAAACCTGTTGTGGTTGTGCCAGATAATAGCTCTAGGGTGAACGATACTAATGTCTCTAATTCATATGAAGATTCATCCTTAGTTCAAGACAGGCAGGAAGCTGGAGGAAGTGTTTTGGATAATGATTTTGTTTTAAAATTGATACTTTAGTTTTTGATAATTCTGGTCTGAAAACTGTTTATGATGAATGTTCAAAAAGTTCCTTTGAAAACTAACAATTCTGCTGTTTTTGATAAATGTGTTGATGTGTTTGAGAAATCTAATTGTATGGAACCTGTCACTAGCAAATACATGCCACCTAAGCCAGCCAAATGGATTGAATAATGCATGTGTGCTTGCGGAAACAATAGAACGAACGGTACCAGCTTCTGCATGAAGAAACACACATATTGCAATAAATTGTCCAAACTGTGCATATGTTCCATATTATACACGAGGTAGACATAATGAGTCATGAGGAAGATCTCTTAAGAGTAAGTCCTCGAGATCTCGTTCAATTGATGGTGATTGGAACATTAATAAAGACAAAAATCAGGCTACTAAACTTAAAAAAGACAAACAGGTTTTGAACAAAAATGCAAAAGATACTTTAGCGAAACCGAAATTGGTTGAGCCAAGATCGGTATCGCCAAAGTCATCATCTAGATCTTAATTTAATCATAGAAGGATACCCAAATGATCAAAAGCAAAGAAAAATACTTCAAAATCACCTGTTAATGTTCCTAAACCCAATTATAAGTGGGTGCCCAAAAACTCATCTATCCAATCACCTTTAAATGCATCTTGTAATCTATCTAACATGAAATGTGAAAAAGTTAATCTGTTGATAAAAAGGTAAACCTAGTGTTTCTATGGATTAGGTTCCAAAATCTAATTAATCTTGCACATCGTGCATGAATAGCTATGGAAGAATATCATCAGACCTTGGTATGTCGATAGTGGCTGTTCCAGGCACATGACAGGTTACATTTCCCAACTGCAAGTCATTCAAAACTTTAATGGGGCTTATGTTTCCTTTTTGGGAGGAGAAGGTGGAAAGATCACACAAAAGGGTATTGTGACTAATGGCATGCTCAACTTTGAGAATGTGAACTATTCTCCTGAGTTGAAACATAGTCTACTGAGTGTATCTCAGATTTGTGATAAAGGCTATTCAACTCACTTTACGAACAAGAAATGTCTAATTCTGAAGCCCGAAATCATCATCCTAGAAGATTGGATTTTGGTGAGGTTAAAAAGGGAAGGGAATGCCTACATCATTGATATGAACCATAACATTCACGAGCAAGTTACATGTCTTTTCTCCAAGGTATCTGAAAACGATGTTATGCTTTGGCATCGTCGACTCGGTCACGCGAATGCCAAGAACCTCAACTATCTTGTGAAAAATGATATCGTGTGTGGTCTTCCAATTAAGGACTTCATTACTTTCAAGAAGTGTGTGGCATGTGCTCAAGGAAAACAGCATCGCAAGCCACGTAAGCCAAAACTAGTCCATTCAATCAGCACTGTTCTTCAGTTACTGCATATGGATTTTTTTGGTCCGATCAATGTTCTTAGCATTAATAATAATTCATATTGTGTGTTTGTCATTAATGATTACTTACAGTTTACCTGGGTTTTCTTCTTATCCAACAAGAGTGAGATAGATGACTTGATCAAGCAATTCATTGTATTAATTGAGAATCAGACCAATAAAAGGGTGAAGGCAATTCGAAGTGACAATGGTACGGAGTTCAAGAATGCTACTCTAGATCATTTTTGTGCTAAAAATGGTA